CTTAGTCATCTAGGGCTACTATACAAAATACTGTAGACTGAGAGTGGTTTAAACAACAGACATTTATTTCACAGTTCTGGAGGCTGGAAGTCCAAGATCAAGGTGTTGGCAAATTCATTTCCTGGTGAAGACCCTCTTCCTGGCTTGCAGACAGCCACCTTCTTACTATATACTCACATGGTTGGGGGAGAGAGAGTGTGTGCTCTGGTTTCTTTCTCTTCTTATAAGGACACTAATCCCATCATGGGGTTCCCACCATCATGACCCTGTCTAAAACTAATTACCTCCTGAAGACCCTACCTCCACATACACTCTTATTGTGGGCTAGGGCTTCAGTATGAGAACTTTGGGAAAATACAGATACTCGGTCCATAACAATTATTAACGAACTACTTGCAGTTATTTGCATGGAGCAGATCAGCAAACTGTGTCATATAAGCCACATCTGGCCAACCACCTTGTTTTTTACAGCTTGAAAAATGTTTTTTATATTTTAGGTGGTTATACTTTAAATGGTTATATAAGTACCTATATAATATACTGATTTTGTCTGTGGGCCTGTAAAATCTAAGTATTTACTTTTTGTCTTTTAAAAACAAATTTGCTAACACTTAGAATAGATTATGCTTTTTGATTCCTTGCCTTTAGCCTACTGTTTATGCAGAAGGTATTCTCCTCTTCCATGTTCTAGAGGCCATATTTGCTTGTTCTTTAGATTTTCTCTGACTTGACCTTGTTTTAGGTTTTTTTCTGACAAGCTAAGACTTAGATATCCATCCACTGGGCTTTCATGGTCGTTGAGCCACTACCATACTGTAAAGGAACTGTTTGAGGGAAGATAAGTAGACTTGGAGGGCTGTTCAACTTTGTTAAATTAACATTTGTGAAGTAGAGCCCTGGAGTGTTGGATGGTGAACCCCAGTTCAATAAAAGACCACAAAGGAAATTGAAATAGAGAAGTTTTTATTACTAACAGGTTCTGAAGGAAGTATTTGGCATGCCTGGAGGGGCCATGAAAGTGCAGATAAGGAGAGTCACAGGATCTGGGATATGTGACTTTATTAGGGTTGATGACTAGAGTGCTTTGGGATTCCTGAGCTAAGCCTAGATTGGTCAATTCAAACCAAAAAGAGCAGGTTTTTATAAGCCCCACATGGGTTTATTTAAGGGGTACACAAGGGGAAGGCCCTGGGAGACAGGGTGATTATTGCTCACAAGGGCTGTTGGAGAAATCATATCAGGAATTTACATTTTCTTGTGATGCTGGGGCTGTTATGTAGGGCATGAACTCATGGGAGGGGCTAGTTTCTGTTCAAGGCCCCTGCACGTCCTTTGGCCACACTAAATGGATGCCAAGGCAGCAATATCATAGAGTAGTTTAGCTAAACTCTTGACAAAGACGTGCCTTCCATATATTGGTTTTTTTAATGTGTTGAGTTTTTGAGAATGTGTCTTTTAGTTGCCACATGGAGGGACAGGGTCTACTTCCCTCCCCCCAAATTTGTTTAGATGTCAAGACTGTATACTAAGAAGGTATGAAACGATTTATTACTCACATAATGATGCTTTATGGGGAGAGCAGGGCAGGTACCCAAAGTGGTCCAGAATAGTTTGAATTAAGTTAGGAGGGGCACATAGCTCTGTTTTTTATTGTTGTTAAGGGATGTGCCAGGTTGATGGGTTCCCACACTCAGGCTAGGTTTGTGTGGTTTGAACTTCTCTGCTGATGCCAAGAAAGGTACACTTTTTCCAACATGAAGTTTTGCATATTATAAAAGCTTACTACAGAAAAAAAAGAGTATAAAGAACATAAGTACATATTATCTCACATAATGGAAAATTATAATAATCCTTTGACTTTTTCAGCATTAAAGATGAAGTCATATTGTACATATGCAGTCTTCTTTCCCCTACCCCCATGTTACAGACCATCTTACCATGTGACTAAATTTATGAAACATCATATGCAGTGATTTATTGTGAGTGTTAAGTTGAGGCATAAATATGGATGGTTTTCCCTCTCTCCTTTCCTCCCTGTAACTACTGATAAGCTTTCTTAGTACCTTCTCAGTGTGATATCATAATTATTCTATTACTTTTACGTTCATTGAAACAGGCTCATTCTCATTCTTTAAGATTAATTTTTCATTATAAAATGAAACCTACAGAAAACCACACAAAACAAATGTAGGGTTTAGTTAGTTATTAAAAGTTGAACATCTTTTTGGCAGTGGTGACAGGGCTGCTTTTGCTGACTGGTGTGTCTCAGCAAGGCAAGGCCTCCTCTGGACTTAGAAAATGAGGTTCTCTATTGCCTTTGATTCTTTGCTGCATCCTTATTTATCAGAGCTGGCTTGGGGCACCCAACATTATTTTGTTTCACACATACTTATATATACACAGACAGCCAAATGTTTTTATAGGAGATACGATTTTTTTTAGTAAAACTACATGTCAAATGCTTAATGCAGAAAATGAGAAAATCCAAGTACTCTCACAAAAACAAAAGAAAACAAAGAAAAAGAAAAACTCCATAACCCATGTTTTGGCTTCCTTTCAACTTTTTTCTTTGAATATTATAGTGTTGTTTTTTTTTTTTTTTCCATAAAATGTATAATTCTGTACATACTATTTTACAGACCTAGTTTTTTAAGTTAATATCTAGGCCTTTTCAGTGGAAAAAATGTATTTTCTCATTTAAGATTAAAAACACTTTGTGTTCATACCAATACTTTGCACTTATATTCAGGAACATAGGGTTTTAATTTAATTTCATTGTTTTTTTACATCCTTTTTTTCTTTTTCCTAATATGAGAATCCACTTTTCAACAAACACCAATTTAACTGTTTTCATTTATACCCATGTATACACAACTAGAATAATGACACCAGTACTACCATCCATAATATAATTACTGAAAATAGTTTGAAAATTTTTCCTCACTTGAAATAGTTTCTGAGTATAATGCCATAAACTTAATACACAGTTAGGCTCATTTAATTTACTTTTGACTTATAGGGGTTCATCAAAACATCTATAAGAGCAAAAGATTAGAAACAACCTAGTGTGTTTTTTCCCCAGTTGACATCTTTCCATGTCTATAAATATATTTTCATTATTATTTTTTAATAAAACAATATTCTGTTGTACGACTGTGTCATACTTTGTGTTTAGCCATTTTTCTGTTCTTGGGCATTTCTACTTTTTTGCCATTCTAAATAATGCTGCAATAACCATATTTACACATACATTTTGTTTATTTCTGAGGGCTAAAAAGACAAAGGAAGAACTTGTCTTTTTAAAAAGGTTTTAGTTAGGGGCGCCTGGGTGGCTCAGTCAGTTAAGCGTCTGCCTTCAGCTCAGGTCATGATCCCAGAGTCCTGGGACTGAGTCCTGCATTGGGCTCCCTGCTGGGCAGGGAGCCTGCTTCTCCCTCTCCTTTTTGCCCCTCCACCCAACTCATGCTCTCTGTTGCTCACTCTCTCTCAAATAAATAAATAAAATCTTAAAAATAAAAAATAAAAAAAAAGGTTTTAGTTAAATTTTGACAAATTGGCTTCCAGGAAGTTTATGAATCTAATCCTATCTGCAATATTAATGAGTACTAGATTCTTTTCCATTGTGTTAAGTCACCATGGGTGTTAGCATTTTTTCCTACATCATATTTATTGGCTGTTTATTTTATATTTTGTGAATTGTCTATTATGGCCTTTGCCAGTTTTTTTCCATGTCCATCTTTTTTTTTTTTTCTTGGCTTTTAGGAAGACTTACATATTAGGGACAGCAGGTATTTCATGATGGAAAGAGGTTCTGTGAAATAATCCCTTTTTGTGTCAAGATTAAATAATTATCCAGAGGTGTTTTTTTGTTTCTGCTTTTTCAGAAACAATTATTCCATTTGCTTTAGTCATCAATGCATCCTGGAAGGAAGGCCAACAACACAAAACTGGAAAGTTTTGGATGGAATACCCAACATAGGAAACAAATTCTAATTTTATTCATATCATGTGTAATAAAGTAGACATCCCCCTTCTGTAATGGTTTTTCAAGTCCATAATCTCTAAATTGTTTAAAAATTTGTGGATTTTTTTATCTTTTTATTTATATATACTAATGAAAGGTCTTGCAGTATTGAATCAGTTCTTGGATTGGAAGGATCCGCTAGTGGGCTACAGGTCAAACTAAGTTCCTGACTTTAAACTTAGTTCTTATTTTGCTAATTTGACTTCAGAATAAGAGTGTTTGAAAGCAAAACATTACTTTTCTCAGGAGAGGTGAGAGCTGGCGAGGTTGCAAATAGAGCCCAGGAGTGGCTGCTTACACCAGTTTGACTAGTCCAGTACTATTTGTCTTTTATAGAAAAAACAAATTAAGGCAAACCAAGCCAAGGTAATAGTGGTGCTGAAGTTAAGAGTAGGTGGGTTTGGCACAAGAAAGGAAATGGAATAATCATGTAGTTAAATGCTTTTGTTATTTACATGAGTGGTCCAATCCCTATATATAATCAAACACAACCTCTCACCAAATATGAATAAATTTTGGGAGATTCTTTACCATCTTTGATTATTCAAGGAGATTGATAAAAGCACGGACTCAGGAGGTAGACCTTTTGTGTTTGCATCCTATTTTGGCTCTCTGTACATTAATTTCTAGTAATTATACTAGTCATTAAATCATAGAGTTATTTTGAAGATTAAATGAATTAATATTTGTAAAGTACTAAGAACAATATCTTGTGGACAGTGAGCACTGTGTAAGTTTTTAAAAATGAATTAAAAATTTCTTGGTGGGAGGAAGAGTAGGAGAAGAATGTTACAAATAGTTTAACAAGTAAACCAATTGAATCTTTTCTATTAAAAAATTTTTATCTTAAAAATTTATTTTTACAACACAAACATTGAGTAAATTCAGACTTATCATAGAGTGATTTTTTCAAAACTGATGATTACATACATTTCTTGAGGTAGGTTATAGCATTTTTTACTGCTTTTGTTCACAGGATATCCTGAATAATCTTGAATCATGTGACCTTGAGGACGATGACCTTATGCTTGATGTGGATCTGCCTGAGGATGCACCTCTTGAAAATGGTAAGCGAGGACAATATTGAAATTCCAGAGGCATATATAGTTGAGCTGCTTGTCTAGGGCCAATTTACTATTATTTACAGATTTCTTTTTTTTTTTTTTTTAAAGATTTTATTTATTTATTCATAAGAGACAGAGAGAGAGAGAGGCAGGCTCCCCGCTGAGCAGGGAGCCCGATGTGGGACTCGATCCCAGGACCCTGGGATCATGACCTGAGCTGAAGGCAGATGCTTAACCATCTGAGCCACCCAGGCACCCTATTTACAGATTTCTTAATCTCAGTGAAGGAAGTCTTTTCAGACTGAGAATCAATCTTAAGTGATAATAAATTCATTTGCAAACTTATTTAAATGTTCAAAACCTTGATTTTGTAGGTCTTAGATATAATTCTGTATGATCCAATAAAATTGTATATCTATATTATAAAGTAAGTAGTAGATAGGATTTGTCCTTTTTGCCCCTGTGTACATATCCAACTTTTCTTCCCTTTCGTTTTGATTCTAAGAAGAAATACATTTAGAGAAACAGAGATATCATTTGACTTTTGATACAGCAGTAAAATTTATTAAATTTTACTTATGATAAGTTTTACTAAGAATAAGTATTTTTAAAAGATCAATTCTGAAAAAATTTTAAAAAGATTAATTCTGGGAAAATGGTGACCTTCTGAATGAATCATCACTTTTTTTTTACTCCCAAATCCAATCTCTCATCCTCTCTGGATCCCAGTAATGCTGGAGTAGGGATTTAGACAATCCATATGCAAGAGGGGCCTAGGTACTCTTGCCCCCACTGACTTAATATTTGTAGGATTTCCTATCTTAAGGACTGATCTAGAATCAGATACCAGCCTAAAAAAGCCCCTGGGGCAAGGGTTGAAATGGGAATTCTCTGGAAAGAGGAATGGCTCCAGAAGATCTGTGGCTTCCCCGTCAGTCAACATTTGCCTGGTCTCTCAGGCCTCCCAGGGGCAAGAGATGAACCAAAGAAGGTGGTGAAGTCCTTTTTATACATGATGCTAGAAAAATGTAGGGATATTTCAGAGAGGGCAGGTGTTTGTTCTGGTTATTGAAGGTACTAGGAGCTCACGTTTGTCACTCCCCCCCCCGCCCAATGCTGCCAGGATGCTCTGTAACAATCTCAAAATCTCAGTGGCTTTCAAAATAAACATTTATTTTCTGTATTCATGGATCTATAGATTAGCTGGGACAGCTCAGGCTGTGAGATTGAGTTCAGGTCTGCTCCTTGTTTCTTCATTTTGAGACCAGGATTACCTGGAGCAGGTTGCTCTCATGGCAGATGGCAAAAGGACAACAGGTTGAACAGAAACAAAAATATAATAGCTCTTAGGGTCTTGACTTAGAACCAACACACTGTTACTTCTGCACACATCTGTTGGCCAAAGCAAGTTATATGGCCAAGCCTAATACCAGTGGGACTGGGAAGTGGATTCTGTTTGCAGTTAGAAACTCTGTGGCAGAGGACACTGAATATATAATTCTACTAAAGGAGACAGTGAAGAGCTGAGAACAATATCTACTCTACCACAGGGGTAGAGACTCTAGCACCTTCTCGTGGTTATGCTGTCACCTGGGATACTCTGGCAACCAGAGTTGAGTTCCAGTCAACTGAGAAAGAAAAATCACAGCCAACATCCAGGAAGAAGAATAGGGAAAACAACAGAACTCCCAGGTTTAGAGTGGCCCAAGGAAATAATAATGAAAGCACTTAAGGAAATAACAGTTGTAGCACAGTGCTTTCTGGAGCTATAAAAGATTTCCTAATAGAACAGTTCAGTAGATGACAGAAAGCATAGCTGCTGTTGAAATCCAAATTAGTGGCCTGGAAGATCAGGTGGAAAAATATTGGAGAACAGGGGAAAATATAAACCATTGACAATTATGGGAGGGAAATGAGATGATGAACTAGGAGATTTCATGTGAAGTTTTAAGGGCTGGTAGTGAGGAGTGAGGAATATACTTCCTTGGAATAAATCACATCCTAGATAATGCATTTTACTTTGACAAACTTTATACCCTTTCTGGGCTATAGGAATTGGTATTAGAACCTGCCTCATCTTTAGAGGACAACATAAAGTTATCCTCATGATAGATAAAATTAGAATCATAGGGAAATTTAAAATCTTCGAGGTCTTGGTTGGGGACTTATGAAAAGTAGTAGGGAACCCCTGAGGTATAACATCTCACATATATTGTAGATTTTCCTCGGAGAAGGCAAACAGATTTTGACTGTTTTGAGATAACCGAACACTGAAGAAAGCAGAACATAAGTCTAAAATATGTAGCCTTCCAAGGCACCAAACATAAAATAGTATTCAGGTTTGGTACTACTGGGGAGTAAGGAGTGACTGTTCTCTTTATAGCTCTGAGGTCCTGGATGACTATACCCCCCACTGAGTTTTTTGATTGGGAGGATAGGAATGTTACAAGGACTGGTACTAGATTTAAAGGAGTTTTCTAATATACTTTTGACTCTTGATTTTCATTCCCTTTAGCTTCTGGTTTTGGTGGCTATTATGCAAATTTGGGTAGAGTTTTGAATGGGTCACTCTGAAGCTTGGTGTGTTCAGCATCACTAATTCTGCCAATATCAGTGGAATTTTTACCAACAAGAAGTCTGAGACTTTGTTGAGATCTTTAGTTTGGGTTTGACTTTGGACACAAGCTTGTTATGACTTCATTATGAATAAGGGATCTTCTGGGATTTCAAGGAAGAGGCCATGAGAATATTCATCTGGCAATTATATTTGTGTAGTAAATCATGACCTATTAGGTAGCATATGTGATAACACAGAGGAAGAAAGAATGTTTGTTGGTCAGGTGTTTCTTGGATTGTTATGGGCTAGGATTTGGGAAGTGAGAGTTTTCAGAAATATCCATAACTGAGTTGTTTGGTGACACTGAGGGGGGAAGATTATATAACAGTAGTAGGGTTTAAGGTTGATATCATAGTGCCTGTAGCAATAAAACATTTGCAAGATTTTCTTTTAATTTTTAGAGAAAATTATCTTTTGAGTGCAAGGATAAAATTGGAAATTGAGCACTTGATCTCCGCTCCAGAACACTTTGATTAATCACCTACTTTATTTTTTCTTTTATTTCATAGGTGATGCAGGACACTTGTTTTTCCAGTGCCCTGCTGTTATAAGTGTACTAAGAGACTTCTTCCTCTAGTGTTTAATTGGCTGTGGTGGAAGCATCTAGTTGTGATATGTGAAGGACATCATTTTATTCTGAGTTGTATTCTACTTTTTTCTAAGGCTGTTTCCAAGTATTAGAAGTCTGGCAGTGAGGCTATATTTATCCTATTTCTGCCTTAAAATCCTTTACAGAATGTGAGAAGAGAGACTGGTCGCATCTCTTTCAGAATCTACCCCTGAATGCTATCTAAAGGTGTTAGTCTACTCTTGAAGTCTGCAGTGGATTTATCCTTTCTTTCCTTACAGAACTGAATCAGAGCCCAATCTACATTCATAGAGAAGACTTTGTTGACAGCCTCTGGAAGTCCTTTTCTAACCTCTTCTAGTTTCTTATGCAATTGATGGAGTTCAATATGTACTACCCAAAAATATGGCACCTTGGCATATTGAATAGCTTAAGCTCAAGGAGTTTGAGAAAATGGCAGAAGCAAGAAAATGGCAAAGCGGAGTCACTTTGACCTCCTCCCCAACCCTCCTTCCCTGAAACAGATCATAAAACCCTCATGTGAGAGGTACCCTCCCTATACCCAGAGGAAAGGCGCATTCTTAATTCCAAGACAAAGAGACTCCCAAGAAGAATCCTAAAAAATAGGGCTTGCTAAGTTTCCCTCAGTTTACTACAGTTACCTCCTACTCCTTAACCTGTCATATTCCTCCATGACTGACCACTTTTTATCAAACCTAGCATAAAAATACACAGGTCTGGGGCGCCTGGATGGCTAAGTCGTTAAGCTTCTGCCTTCGGCTCAGGTCAGGATCCCAGGGTCCTGGGATCGAGCCCTGCATCAGGCTCCCTGCTCAGCAGGAAGCCTGCTTCTCCCTCTCCCACTCCCCCTGCTTGTGTTTCTGCTCTCGCTATCTCTCTCTTTCAAATAAATAAAATCTTAAAAAAAAAAATATACAGGTCTAACTGTTTCTTTGGGTCTTTATTTCCTTGTGAAGGCTCCCCTGTTACAAATAATATTAAATAAGTTTGTATGCTTTCCTTCAGTTTAATTTTCTGACCCTACAAGATCAAGAAAAACTCTTTCCTCTTCTACACAATCAATCATGGTTCTTAAGTTACATGACCTTCAGGGGCGCCTGGGTGGCTCAGTTGGTTAAGCGACTGCCTTCGGCTCAGGTCATGATCCTGGAGTCCCGGGATCGAGTCCTACATCGGGCTCCCTGCTCAGCAGGGGGTCTGCTTCTCCCTCTGCCCTCTTCCCTCTCATGCTCTCTGTCTCTCATTCTCTCTCTCTCAAATAAATAAATAAAATCTTTAAAAAAAAAAAAAAAGTTACATGACCTTCAGATTCTTCACACTGTGCCTTTTCCATTTTATTTTTTGCACCTAGGGTTCTCTCAGTATATGAACTAATAATGTGTAATAGGGATCCTGGATTATCAATTCCTGAAACTATTCTAAATACCTCTGCAAATTTCTCCCAGTCTTATTTAGATCTTAGAAAACATGCAGCCATGACTCTCAGCTTAGAATGAGTCCAGGTCTTAAAAATCAATCTTATGGGGTTTTCCCTCTTCTGAAAGAGGTTTAACTTCAAGAGATAATGAGCCTTTGAGGTTTCTGGCCAGCTTCAGGGTAGGGAAACAGGTCAAGGGAGAGATGGGGCAGAGCAAAATCGAGGAGCGTAGAATGAAGGAAGAAGAATAAAACGAGAAAGGACTTTAGGTTTCAGTTGTGATTAGGAAGGATCTGAAAGACAAAATTGTTTTAATTCTTTTACATTTTTTCTTTTACCTTTGTCAAGGAATCTCTTAAGGAAACAGTTTTGGTTCTGAATTTCTTTTGGCAGACTGTTGAGTATTTGATATTTTCACCTTTTTTGTTCTAAAGTGTCTCTCAAATGAACTGTTCAGGTTGTATCAAAAACACAATTGTATTGCTTTATTCTCTTGCTCTGGAACATCTAATGGTCACTCATTGCCTACAGATTAAAGCCTAGCATTTGGCATATTTATAGTTTAATCCTCAGGTTTATGATGTTTCTATAGTGTATACCTTGTTACATGTGCTATTTTATCTACTCCTTCTGTTTTTAAACTTTTCTCTGGAAAAAGATGTCTCCTGGGGTGCCTGGGTGGCACAGTTGGTTAAGTGTCTACCTTTGGCTCAGGTCATGATCCCCCGGTCCTTGGATCAAGCCCTGCATCAGGCTCCCTGCTCAGCAGGGAGTCTGCTTCTCCCTCTCCCTCTGCCTCTACCCCCACCTCGTGCTTACTTGCTGTCTTGCAAATAAATAAATAAATAAATAAATAAAATCTTAAAAAAAAAGAAGAGAGATATCTTTCTAATTACTTCCTGAATCCCACACCACAGCAAGTTATGGTTCCTATTAAATTGTACTTATTCTTTGTTATATTTCCTAAGGCCACATTTTTGCTTTTATTGAGTTATAGTTATATGAGTTCTATAGTATTATCCTTGATCACTTTCCAGTTACTGTATTTTCTTCTGGAAATTTATCTTTCTTTTTCAGTGCTAATTGTGTTTAGTAATAACAAGGTTCATGATTATTATTATTTTTTTTTTAGATGAGCTTTTCTTCTTTTGAACCAAATTTTAGTTGAGAACTTTTCTGATCAGATTGTAAAACCTCCTGCAAAGCACATTCTTTCTAGGCTTTGTAATGTGTAATTTCTTCCTGCCATCTTCATAGCCAATTGTTATTCACAGGTAGAAATAATACCTATGTCATCCATTACCTTCCTATGACTTTAAATAATCAGAGAAATAATCTAGGTTACTTTTGGTGTTATATTTTTTCCTTTATCAAATCAGAAGAAATGAGTGTGATGAGTGGTAGATCTAGGCATCCCAAGTCCCATACCTTTCAGTTAGCTATCTATATTAGATCCTCTTTCCCTCTCCTGATATTATTTCTGTCTCCTACTCACAGTAAAAGAACTAAAATCTGCTGCCTCTTACTTTTGGACCTGGAAACCTCCTTCACAGGGTCTTTATTTTCTAGTCCTAAATGCATAGTTAGGGCAAAATCTGGTGTGTAGAGAGCTGTGATCAACATACCTGGTTAAAATTTTTCAAGCCAGGATATGTTTTGGTTTGCCTCATCATGCCTTATGGTATTTCATGTTCAGAGGGATTTATTTCCTTTCTTAGTCTTCTTTGTCCTGTTCCATCATTGGCTATGGAAATGGTTTTGATTTATCTCCATCTTGTAATTTTGTTTGCTTTCCATTTCCTTTTCTATGTTATTTCTTTCATTCTGTCAGAGAACCCCCTAATCTTATCTAAGAAACCACCACTAATGTTATTTTACATTATCTTCTTAGTAACATTTTAAAGTACATAAACATATGTTTGATGGGTGCCTCAGATAGGAGTATAGTTAACCCTTGAACAACACAGGTTTGGAATGTGTGGGTTCATTTATATGTGGATTTTTCCAATTAATAAAGGACAGTACTATAAATGTGTTTATTTTCCTTATGATTTTCTTAATATCATTTTCTTTTGATACAGTGCAGAACTGTAAATGTATTTTTTCTTATGATTTTCTTATTTACATTTTATTTTCTCTAGCTTATTGTAATACAGTATATAGTACATATAATGTACAAAATATGTGTTAAATGACTATGTTATTGGTAAGGCTTCCGGTCAACAGTAGGCTATTAGTAGTTAAGTTTTGGGGGAGTCAAAAATTATACACGGATTTTTGACTATGCAGGGGGTCCCATACTCTAACACCCACATTGTTCAAAGGTCAACTATATAAGCAGAAACCTTAAAAAGTCTTGGAGCACTCATTTATCTGAGAATTTAGGCCCCTCTATCTCAGTGTCTACCAGTAGTCTTTTGTGGTCATGGCAAATGTTTGTTTCCACTGTTTATTTGGCATTGTGTCTATGGTTGAGTTCTTGTTTCAATAAAGGGGCTTTAATCTGTAGCCTGTGTGTAGTATCAACAACCTCTTTAGCAAAAACAAAAGTGGCACATCAATTTTATGCACTTTAATTTCCCACAGTATTTAACCCCATCTCCTGGCCTATTTGCCTGGTTCATTTGCTTCTTGCTACTCTGTATGTACTGTGTTGATGATATCCTAATTACATATCAGATTCTTATTATGACAGAATTTCTTGTTTGGGGAGTGAGTGGAATTTTACTTGCCTGAATTAAATATGGATTCAGATAAACGTAGATACAGATCATCTCTAGCTTTATAGAATTGCTTAAACTAAAGTAACATTTTAATGCCATGTAGAAATACTTGAGCTTAACTGAGTCTTTGAGTGTAATACAAATGTGAACTAAAACCAGTTTTAAGCCTTTCTGGGATATTTTTAAATTTATTTTTCTTTTCCGATCTCATCTTCCACTCCTTATTTTTTTCATTATAATGGTCACCATGTCTTTATTTATCTAACGGTCAGGTTTTCTATAATTGAACTTTAAAAAAAATAGATTGTAATTTATCTCAATAAAATGACAAGAAACTGAAATAATTTCAAATGTAAGGCTTCTTTAGAAAATGTTTTCTTTAAATTTTTTTAAACTATAAAATGTATAGTTTTCCCCCAAAATTGATTTCTTTAATGGTTATAAACAAAATTTCAAAGTGTTTTAAAAAGTTATACAAAATTATTATGCATTTAGAAGAAATTACGTTACAGTGAGTTTAGTGTATATGAGAATTGAACATCTGCACTTTAACTACTTTTTTGTAGTGGGGAAGTTTGTTTTTATCTGGTGTACTGTAATGAAACACTTTCCGTATTTCAAATTCAAGTTTTAGGTTAAGTGAAAATAATCACTTAAATAATCAATTTTTTAAAATTGGGGATCACATTGATTTCTACAGCTTCTTTATTCTAAGCATTCCGGATTTGAACTTTCTCATGTAATAATTCTAAGACTAGAGAAACCTTTTCTGTTCCTGGCTTGAGTTAGTGTTTAGTTGTATTTTTAGTAACAGTCCTAACTCAGTAGCTATGTAACCACTGAGCGAAGATGGAGTCACAGGGTAAACTGGGCTTGCTTCCCACAGGGAGGGCTGGGAGTTGAGCAGGAAGGAAGGCCTGTTTGTCAGTGCCTTGTATGCAACTATGTCTGAGTAGGCAGCCGTCGACACAATGTCTCCCTTGTACAAAGTAACTCTCTTAGTGAGTGCTCAGATATGTGAGGAAAAAGTGTTTGGGTAAGTGAAGGAGAAGCTTGGGGTGTTTGAAGGAGATTCTTCTCGTGTTTTTGCGGCATTTGGATTTCAGGGAGTGTACTATTTGTTGCGGCAAAGTACTGGCATTGTTTTCAGTGACATTTTAGACTTTTTGAACAAGCTCTACTGTAAGCATATTGAAGCTTCTTACTTTCTAAACTGTGAGTTTAATTTAAAAAAAATACGATTTGTTTGTGATGAAAACTTAATCTGTGCTTCTTGAAATCAGTGAAAGCTAATTGTGGCATTTATTTTTGGGAACAAGTTCTCTACTAGACTTAAAATCTTATACTTTTTCTAATAATTTTCATTCTGAAGTCAGAACCAGCTAGTGATAATGATGAAAACCACTAAAAACTAATTACTGGTGTTTAAAATGTATAATGTTTATAACAAGGATAAGTTGCTTGTTTTAAAACACTGAGACCGTTGTTACTTAAGTGCCTATGATATGAAAGTTTTATAATTTACTTCAATTTGAATACTATGAAGTTTAGTTTTCACCAAAAGAACTGGTTAGTTTTCTTCTGGAAATTTTGATTTTGTGATTAGCTAATATAAATGGCTGGTATTTTTAGCATATCATTTTTATATTCTCAGCAGCATTTAATTATCAAGCTGTAAGTAGTTAACTTTTATAGAGTGTGTGCATGTTTATAGTGTTTTGCTTTTGAATCTGTCTAGTGGAGTGTGACAATATGAACCGCTTTGACCGGTCAGACAGAAATGTTCGGCAGTCTCAGGAAGGATTTTGGAAGAGGCCACCCCAGAGGTGGAGTGGACAGGAGCATTACCACCTCAGCCATCCTGACCACTATCATCACCATGGAAAAAGTGACTTGAGCAGGTGAGTCTAATTTAGATTATATTCCCTATCTTTTGATTAATTTTGAATCCTAATATTCCCCTGCCCCCTCAAAACTATTTTTTAATTTGGTTTTTAGAGGCACCAAAAATATTTCAAATTATATATGGTATTAATTGGAATAATTTGTCTAATTCTTTCCTTTTGGTCCAAATCTTTTTTCATTAGCTTTATCATAAATAAAAGTATTTTATTTATGTCTGCTATTTGTACTTCATGTTTTGGTGTGATTTTCTAGTTCTCATTTGGGAATGATTATATGTTGAATTTGTTAAAGTTAATTATTTTTAAAATAATATATGAAATTAGTGCCAAGTGATTTGTCTTTTGCTTATATAATAAATTAAAACTTAAAAGTTCCTCAAGTACTGTTAGAAATGAAGATACTGTACAATGCTAGGATTCTTTTCCTTTTTGAAGCATAGCATAGCTTTTAATTTGATAAGATGTGCATTATGGCTCTGTAGTCAGTCAAACCTGAGGTCAGACTGTGGCCTGACACAGATTAGCTTTGTGAGCTTAAATAATTTATTTAAACCCTCTCTGCTTCAGTTTATCATCTGTAAAACACAGTTAATAATACCTTTCTCTCACTGTTCAAGGATGAGAGGCAGAAGTGCTTGAGCAGTATATGGCTTAGAGTAGGCACCCAGCGGTGGTAGTTATTATTAATTTTTTTCCTTTTCACTTCCTCATCTCATTTCACTAGGGATTTGAGATCATTTTGGGGCACAGTTACCAAGCAGATAATAAAATTGGATAAAGAAACAATGGAAGGGAAGTGTGTGGGCCCATATAGTTCTTGAAGTAAGAAAAAAAAATTGGCTCTAAGAATCCTTGCAGCAAAAACAAAGAACAAACCTTGATGCATTACAAGATTTATACTATACATAAGAAAGAATGTGTTTCTCCTGAACTGATTTGCTTTCATGAGACAGAAACCTGAAAGAAGTTGCTTTGCATGAGTTCTTAGAGAAGGGGAATACTTTGTGATATAGTGAACAGGTCTCAGCTTCCCCAAGTAGAAATGATAAATTCCTTAAGTCAGTTTTTTACTTATGTTCTTCAGTGCAAGCTATAAAGAACTCTAGACTAGTGAGAAAAGGCAGTTCTGCAGTGGGTCACAAAATAATGAGGTTTAACTAAGGATCCCTCTGTTGGTTTAATTTGATGAAATGATAAAATGTAGAAGATCTAGAAGAATACATGGAGTATATATTTTTCCAGGCATTATTTTGGCTGTTGTTTTTTTATAGCAGGCTTTTGATAAGGAATGGACATCAGAGTTGTTATTGTCAGGCAAGAATATGATGTAAAGATAGTTGTGATTGCAAATAATGAAGATTATGCTTTCCTCATTTTTGATGGTTGGTTTATAAGAAGGTAAATTTGAGGCCAACTTATGAAAATTTAGAAGCCTAACTAAAATATGAATTGCTTATACTTCTGATAATATTTATTCATCCATTTAACAGATATTCATTGAGAACCTATATGTTGAACTCTGTACTAAATTCTCAAGCTGGGTTGAATTTGGAAATAGTGTGAGAGGTGATAGCTGTGGATTGGTAATGGCTTCGTAGAGCATTGTTCTGAGGATGCTAAAAACAATTATGTAATGCATGAGCTCAGTTGGAGTCATTACAGTTATTGGTTATGTAGAAGATTCATGTTCCTCTTCCATCCCATACAAAGTTGAGTAGTAAGTATTTCTTGGATGTTGAGTCTGTGGGAGAGGTAGGTATATTACAATATTAGTGCAGTACAATGATGATGGGTGCCTTAATTAAAGTGATTTATATAGGACTCCAGAAGCATGCAGCATCTGGTTTTTGTCTAGGGTAGTGGTGTGTAAAGGAAGTTACTATTGAATGGGTAAGTGTGACTGTAGAGATTGCAGAGGAGGGGTTTCTATAGGAGAAGGATGAGTATTCAGATGGAAAAAAATAGCATGTGCAAAACCATATATCAGTACTGTGTTATTTTTAGAGAACTAAGTTCATAGCTGGATTGCAAGGTCATTTGGAGGAATGAATAGATGTGCTCTCTAACTCTAGCAGCAAAACTCTCTATTTTAAGATAATGAGTGGCAAATTTCAGCTTAAAATGGGATTATAAATCAGACTGTCCCAAATGGAATGAATTACCTGGATGGAGGTAGTAATCTCTGTCCCTGGGAATGATCAAGCTGAGACTGATTAGTCATCTTTCAGAAAAGTTAAAGAACATTTTCCAAAAACCATATTCCTGGATGTTAATAGGTGTAGAAGAGCAATTATCTGATCAAATAAGTACAGGAATAAACAAATTAATATTAAATGAGTTTTTTGTAAAGTGGACTTTGCATTGCCTTTAATATATATAGTACTATGATTTTGCAAAATGTGGTAAAAGATAGAATATGTAGCCATTTTGTAAAACATATGACTGCAGATCCCTTTTACACAGTGTATTTTGAGGGACTAGTAATTTGTGGATCATCCACACTGTTGATTCTCAGGGAGGAGAGAGAAATGCACCATATTCTTGGGGGTTGCTCATTTGACTCAATGCAGAACTTCCCAACAAGTGGGCACACTGGTTTGTCATGAATAGTTATAGGTTAACCATTTTATTGATCCCTTCAGGCTTTGGGGTGGCCATCTGGGTTTGGGATATCTAGATCCCTAAGAACTAGTTATGAACTTGGGTGGTACAGAGAGAAACTCCATTTAAGACAAGCCTTACTCTCCAGTATACCTTAAAACTATTCTTTTCTCTCCATGCCTTGATTTTTAAAAGCTTGGATACACTAATCCCAGGGCCTTTTTGACATGACATGTGTAAAAGTATCTCTTCCCATTCTATGACTTCTTGAGTGTAAGTTCCCTTTCCTTTCTGTCCTTTAATTCCCATCATTGCCTTCTTTTTTTTTTTTTTTTTAATTATAGGAATCTGTCTTATCCATAATTTAGGGGACTGGTAGTTCAGTTTCCTTTATATTTTTATCATAATACTATGCTCTCTTTTCATCTGGCCTAAGCGTTCATTCCTCTTTCTCCTGCAACCTCCTTCTTTCCCTATACTTTCCATTATGCTGTATGGAATTCTCTCACATCCTAACAAACTCACATTTTTTACCCCTTTGCCTACATTTTCCTGATTGCAACTGAAATCTCACTCTTTCCTAAATGTACTGGTTCCCTAGTAGTATTTTTATATGAAGGATTCTTATTTTCCAATCACTCTAGTACTTTACTGTTTAGAGGTGGGATCTTTGTCTTCACTCCTTATTTGCTTCTAATCAAAGTATTCTTCAGTCTCTTTCCTCGAGACTTAGGGCATTTGGCTGTATCAAATCCTCCTTATTGGTCCCTACCCCTCGCTCACAAAAATTTTGACCCTTGGCTTATTTTCCCTCTTCGTTGGAAGCTTTGCTGCAATCCTGAATGCCTCCATTGTTCATGTACATGATTCTTTAACCTCCTGGCTCCTTAGTTTCTTAGAATTCTCTGTATATGAGATCATGTCATCAGAGAATGGAGATAGTTTTACTTTTTTCATTCCCATCTGGGTACTTCTCTTTTTTTTGTCCTGCGTAATTCCTATGGCTAGAACCTCCAATACAGTGCTGAACAGGAGTGGTGAGAGCAAACATTTGTGCCTTTCTAATATTACGGGTAAAGCATTCAGTCTTTCACTGTTAAGTATGATGTTAGCTCTGCTTTTTCATGTGTAGTCTTTATCAGTTGAGGAAGTTCCCTTCTATTCATATTTTGTTGAGTGTTTTTGTCATGAAAGACTGTTGGAGTTTGTCAGATGATATTTCTGTGACTATTGAGATAATCATTTTTTGGTGTTCATTCTCTTAATGTGGTATATGACATTGACTGATTTACAGATGTTGAACCAGCCTTGCATTTCTTGGATAAATTATACTTGGTCATGGTATATAATCCTTTTTATGTATTGCTAGATTCAATTTGCTAGTATTGTGTTGAGGATTTTTGTGTATATATTCATAGTAAGTATTGGTCTATAATTTTATTTTTTTGAGATGTCTTTGTGTGGTTTTGGTATTATGATCATATAGATTGAATAGGGAAGTGTTTCTTTCATTTCTGTTTTTGGAAGATTTTATAGAATTCACCAGTGCAGCTATTTGGGCTTAGGCTTTTCTTTGTGGAAATTTTTTTGATTACTAGTTTAATCTCTGTAGATGTTCTATAGATATCTATTGGGTTTTGTTAGTTTGTGGTATTGTTCAAATATTCTATTTCCTTGCTGACCTTTTTCCTAGTTCTGTCCATTAATGAAGAAGTATTAAAGTCTCCAACTATAGTTTATCTTGTAGGGAAGGTCTGATAGCAACACATTCTCTCAGTTTTTGTTTATATGGTGATGTTTTAATTTCTCTTTAATTTTGAAGACTAATTTTGCTGGATATAGAATTCTTGGTTGACAATCTTCCTTTTAACATTTTGACCCCCATGCTTTCTTATGAAAAATCAGCATGTCTTCTCATGAGTCCTATTTTTCTTGCATTGTTCAGGATTCTCACTTTTTATTTAGCTTTTGATAGTTTATGATGTGTTTCTCTTAATATATTTTGGAGTTTGTTGAGCTAATGACTAGATAACAGTTTTTTTTTTTAAATGCCTTGAACCAGTAAGTATCCCAGCCTTTGCCAAGGGGCTCTATATGTGTATGTGTTTAGGGATACTTTCAACAACCTGGTATTGCAGCTCTGCCTTAGCCTTTGTTTCCTCCTTGCTCAGAGACTCAGGGTCAGCCAAATGTGAGAGGTGAAGGCATTTCCAGGTATTCCCTTGGCATGCACAGCCCTACATAGGTGTATGGCCTTCTCTATGTCCAAGAATATGTTGGGGCATTTCAAAGCCTCCTGTAGGCATCTCCTTCCTCAGGTTTTTCTTTAAGTTTTTTGATCACCATCTCTGGCAGCTTGAAATTTTAAACAATTGCACTGATTTTTTCCAACAAAT